TCTACCGTCCAGCCCAAGTGTTTGGACTATTTAGATAGAAGTGTAGAATATTAATGTAACACACTCGGATTAATCTGAAACTATTATTACTTTAGTTTTTAACAAAGACAACAGAGCCAACATTAACCCTGGTTCAAGACTGTCATGTTCATAGCAAACGGCACCATCCGTTTGTATGCGCTGCGTTTCATACGCAAGAGAGTATATAAACAACAGAGAGCGTGCAGGACGCCCGCCACACGTGGACGATGCTAGTCATGTATCATTATAAGTATTAAATTCAGTAACCAAGCAATGATTTTATATAAGCCCTACAATCAAGACTTTCACAGCAACACACAACACCACACTGGCGACGAGGATGAACAGTGAACGCAGGTTGTGGGGAAAACTCCAGGCAGCTATTCTCCTTTTTTAAATTGACTTTAATAAGATAAAGTTGATTTTATTTATTTTATTTGTAAGTAAGAATTAATTGAGTGGACTGTATGTACTTGATTAAACTGCCTGAAATTATCTCACACAGTTGGAGGGACAATTTGTAGCTTAAACCACAAATTGTTTACCTTATTAATATAATTATCATACCACATATGGTGGTCCAATTTATTATTATTTCATACCACATATGGTGGTCTAATCTACTAGTAATAATTACTAATTATGAATACTAATACTACTATAACTAAAGAGGGCTTAGCTGTTCCTGTTGAAGGGGCCTGCTAAGGCTGTGTAATGGTAGTATCAATATGGGTGTGGCGCTGTGCCTCTTTGTGCCACGTAATGGCGTCCGTGAAGACTATAAGCCCTGGCATACAGCTAGGTAAATGTGAAAGGCCAACTGTCTGCTCTGTTTCTTGCTATTCCAAATCACAATTTACCTGTATGGAATACAAGGAGTTAATAACAGTTCCCTAAATATATAATTACAGGTATGGCATGAAATAGGTGGGTGTTAAATGGGGTACACGTTCTTCTTGTTGGGTGTTATTCATACATCTTAACCGACTACCTTATAAATGATTAAAATGTGTACACAATAAATCAAATATATAGTATACTTGGTAAGCGGGATACAGGATTGCTCTAGTGATAGTAGTAGTGTTGTCGTGGTAGTTTGCTTGGGGCAGAGTAAGTCTATCCAAGCTGACTAATATCACAACACTTCTGGAGCACCCTCTGTGTTTGTTGTTGTTGATGTGAGGAGCGTGAGTCTGTGGGACTGATGCCCCTGAGGGCATGGTTACACTTCTGAACTTAAATTTACATTAACAAGGGAGTCAAGCTACATTTTGGTGTTAGTAATTATATTCAGTCTTGTTGAGTACTTTCTTGTTAAATTTAGATACAAGACTGTTGTATAAACAGTATTAGAATAATGTAAATATACGTGGCGTCTCTGACGTCACAGGATCACCCATTTTCTTTCCTGAAGGGAATACTGAAAGGGGAGACTATGTTATTATCTATATGTTGGATTCCGACATAATTCCAGGGGGAGAAGAACATGGGTCGAAGTCCGGTAAGGACTGCGATCACTTTATTTTTCTCCTTCAGAATTATAGTGCTGCTTTAATTTGAGTTTACATTGTTGTGCAGCAGTCCTTTGGGGACATATGTCCCGTACTGGCGTATCGGGTGCTGGAAGTCGTTGAACGTCTTCTTTCCTTGCCAGTTCTAAAGGAACTAATTTCTCTAAAGTTTTGAGCGTAGTGTTGCCTCGGCATTTTGCTTTCACTATTCTCAAGATGCCCTGGCTGTCTGGATGAACAGAGACTATTTGACCTATAGGCCACTCTGAGCGTGGTCCATCACTATCCACCAGAACTATGTCACCAGGGTTCAAGTTAATTCTGTTGTAGGGGTTGTTTGCCCCGTAATGATACTCCCTCAGAGCTGTAAGGTATTCATGAGTCCATACGTCATTCCACCGACTTATCACCCCTGATAGATGTTTGAAACGTTGAACCAAATCACTCTCTTTGACATATGAAGGATCCTCTGATTCCTCGTCCGTAAGGGACACAAGTATTTTGAGAGGTCTCCCATACATCATATAAGCTGGACTTAATGGTTTACGTTGCAAAACATCATCAGAGAGGTAGGTAAGTGGTCGGTTATTAACTCGTGCTTCTATCTCTATTACTACTGTTTGAAGCTCCTGTAGGTCAATCTTTTGGCGGTGTAGGGTTTTCCGTAGGGAACGTTTCACCATACCAATCATGCGTTCATAGAAGCCTCCGTGCCATGGTGCTCTGGGAGGTATGAATTTCCAATGGCACTGCCGTTGGGTTAGGGCCGTGCGTTCCTTTGGGTGTGTCCAGATTTTCCTCAGACATGCTTCTCCTGTCACTAAGTTGGACCTATTGTCTGAGATCATTAACTTAGGACAAGATCTACGTGAAGTAAACCTGCGGAAAGCCTGTAAGAATGCTTCGGCACTCATATCGGGAGTCACTTCTAGATGGACTGCCCTTGTTGTGGCACAAGTAAAAAGACAGATATAGGCCTTTACTGGTTTCTTGTCTTTCGTGCCTGTTAGTGTTAGTGCTCCTGTGAAATCTACTCATGTTGTCTCAAAGGGACGAATATGTACAACTCGTTCCTTCGGAAGTGGAGGAGGGCCAGGATATGGACACACTCTGGCATCGTGTCTCCGGCAAATAACACAGGATTTGATTATTGATTTTACTGTCTGCCTACCTTGGGGTAGCCAGTACTGTTGTCTTAAGTCCGTGAGAGTATCTAATACCCCACCATGCAGAGTGCAGTATTTGTGTATATGTAACACAATTAGTTTGCTTACTATGTGGTGGTAGGGAGCAATATTGGATTTTTTGCTTCCAGATCTATGTCAGCATGTTGTAAGCGTCCTCCGCATCTTATCAAGTTATAATTGTCAGTGTCTAACCAGAGACCCAGATCATGTTGTAGCTTCTTAGGAACATTGTCAAATTCTGTCCAAATGTGTCGGTCTGAGCTCTTTTGACCCAGTACCTTAGGGCACTAGGGAATTTATGCTTGATTCCTATTTTCTTTAGAAAATCAAACACTATTTGGGTGACACCTATAAGTTTGTTCAGTTCAGAGTACCGAGCAGGATCAATTACCAAAGTCCGAGGTAGTTCCGGGTTCTCAGTGGGAACAGTGACATTGGTCACAATGACTTGTGGCTTTTGTTCAGGCCACTGGTCGCTGATTAGCCACTGAGGTCCATTGAACCACATCTCTGCCTTTGTTAATTGCCGTAAAGTCAGGCCTCGGGAGAGATAGTCAGCTGGATTCTCTTTAGTGGGTACATATCTTATTTTATACCCTGCTGACAACTCTCATATTTCCTTAACGCGGTTACTCACGTAAGGATTCTTACTGTTATTGTTTTTAACCCACTGTAGCACTGCCTCATTATCTGACCTTACTACTGTTTCTTTAAAGTGGATGTGGCTTAAGGACTTGATCAGATAATGAGCCAATCTTACACCTAGCAGTAAGGCTGTTAATTCCAGCTGTGGCAGTGATCTTTTCTTTAAAGGTGCCACTCTGGCCTTTGATGTGAGCAAATTGGCTTGCCCATTTGAGACCAGGTAAGCTACTGTGCCATAAGCCTTTCCTGAGGCATCACAAAATACATGTAGCTTAATTGGTTCCTTTTCATTTACTACTGTGTTCCGAAGGAACTTGACAGACTCTAGGATACTTAAATCTTTCACTAACCCTTGCCATTTTTCTTGTAGGGCAGGTGTTAGAAGATCATCCCAGATCATCTTTTGTTGCCAACATTCCTGTATTATCAACTTCCCATTAATTAGGATTGGACTTAATAGTCCTAATGGGTCGAAGGGTTTGCTGACTTGTGATAGCAATTTTCTCACCCATTTTCTTTCCTGAAGGGAATACTGAAAGGGGAGACTATGTTATTATCTGTGTGTCGGATTCCGACACAGGTACTTGTCCAGCTCAAAACACAAGGGATAAACATGCTGTCTTGTCCAGGAGGAGGAGAAGAAGTGCTGTCTGTGAGCACCATACCAATGCTGTGTGCTACCAGTGCTGTGTTCTACTAATGCTATGTGCTAACTGAAGCTGTATGATATCTACCGATGCTATGTGTTGAGGAAGCTGTGTGATATCTACAGATGCTGTGTACAAAACGACGCTCAGTGCTACACAATTCTTCGTGCTGTATGCTGTGTTGACAGTGCTGAAAACGCATCACACAACTTTGTTGACAACTGTTGTGCCAACTACTGTGCAGCTGTGAGTAGGAACAACACTACATGTACACAAGGCTAGGCAAGAGGTCAGTTGCTGCTGTATTGAGCACTGTTGTGAACTTTTGCATTAAAATGCTTGTGTGCTTTGCAAAATTAAAGTAATTACAGTGAATTCTTAACTAACATACACAGTGCAGTAAGTGTTTAGTATTCTGAGGAACATTAAAATAAAAAGTTTACATTTAAACAGTAAAAATGGCAAATATTCCTCAGTTTCCTGCATTTGATCCTGACTGTGACCTGACAAACCTGTCACAGAGGTGGACCAAATAGCTAAAAAGGTTTGAAATTTTTGTAATAGTTTCAGACATCCAAAGTGCTGAAGGAAAGGGTACCTTTGTACTTCATCATGTAGGTGATCGTGTTGTTGACATCTTTGATACACTGAAAGACACTGACAAAGGTGATGACAAAGATTATGACATTGCCAAAGCCAAATTAACTGAAAATTTCAAACCTAGAGAAAACACTTCTATGGAAATTATGCAGTTCTGGAGAGCCAAACAACTCTCTAATAAAACTATAGATCAATACCATACACGTCTACAGGGTTTAGCAGCACATTGTGAGTTTGCTGATGTTGACAAAGAAATCAAACAGCAAATAATTGAAACATCTACACGTCTCCGTCGAAGAGCTCTGGAACTTGTTGAAGATGAAAGTTCTCTCACCAAGATAATGGACATTGCTCGTCGAATGGAAGATGCTGCACGTGATGCTCGTGTCATGGAGTGCTGTACCAACAACGGTGCTGCACGTGATGCTCGTGTCATGGAGTGCTGTACCAACAACGGTGCTGCACGTGATGCTCGTGTCATGGAGTGCTGTACCAACAACGGTGCTGCACGTGATGCTCGTGTCATGGAGTGCTGTACCAACAACGGTGCTGCACGTGATGCTCGTGTCAAGGAGTGCTGTACCAACAACGGTGCTGCACGTGATGCTCGTGTCAAGGAGTGCTGTACCAACAACGGTGCTGCACGTGATGCTCGTGTCAAGGAGTGCTGTACCAACAACGGTGCTGCACGTGATGCTCGTGTCAAGGAGTGCTGTACCAACAACGGTGCTGCACGTGATGCTCGTGTCAAGGAGTGCTGTACCAACAACGGTGCTGCACGTGATGCTCGTGTCAAGGAGTGCTGTACCAACAACGGTGCTGCACGTGATGCTCGTGTCAAGGAGTGCTGTACCAACAACGGTACTGCACGTGATGCTCGTGTCAAGGAGTGCTGTACCAACAACGGTGCTGCACGTGATGCTCGTGTCAAGGAGTGCTGTACCAACAACGGTGCTGCACGTGATGCTCGTGTCATGGAGTGCTGTACCAACAACGGTGCTGCACGTGATGCTCGTGTCAAGGAGTGCTGTACCAACAACGGTGCTGCACGTGATGCTCGTGTCAAGGAGTGCTGTACCAACAACGGTGCTGCACGTGATGCTCGTGTCATGGAGTGCTGTACCAACAACGGTGCTGCACGTGATGCTCGTGTCATGGAGTGCTGTACCAACAACGGTGCTGCACGTGATGCTCGTGTCATGGAGTGCTGTACCAACAACGGCGCTGCCAGTTACTAACAGTGATGAAGTACGTAAGGTTCAGGGAGGACACCGTGATCATAGGAGGTATCATGGCAAACCCAACAGCAATTTGAGACGAGAACCACATCACAACTGAAGTCAAGGAATAAGACCCAAGCAGCCACAACGACCCACATCAGAGGGTGTCAACACAAAATGTTACAGTTGTGGAGGAGACTACCCACACCAAGGTAATGTTTGTCCTGCTCAAGGTAAGAAGTGCTATGAGTGTGGAAAATTAGGTCATTTTGGTGCTATGTGTCGTTCCGCACTAAAGAAACCACAGTCAGTGAACAAAGTTCTGTAGGAAGGTCAGGTCATAGGGGTCGAGGTGGCAAACACAATATTGCACCTCATATCCAGAATGTTAATAATGTACAAGACAACTTGTCATTACAACCAATCTCAGATGACAGTGAATGTGATTATACTTATGGAGTACAAGCAATCACAGAATGGAATGATCTTCCAAACAACCCAGAGACTATAGTATACATTGCTGGTGTTTGCTTCAAAGTTCTCATTGACACTGGATCAAACATTGACATCATTGCTGAGTGCTGCTATGAGAAATTTAAAAAACAGTTCCCAAAGCTAGAGAACTACAACGGTAAAGCCACAGCCTATGCTTCAGAGGTAGCCTTGCCAGTGATTGGAACTTTCATGCAGAGATTAAGTCTAAGAATGCAATGCTCACTACTACTACGTTCCATGTTGTTAGGAATGCAAAGGAGTCCCTACTCAGTTACAAGACTTCAACCAACCTGTAACTACTTCAGCTTACTAATGCTGTAGCAGTGGAATCTGCAAACAATGTTGATGCAATTGTTGCTGAATTTTCTGATCGATTTAAATCCATAGGTTGTTATACTGATAGCAAAGTACATCTGCACATCAACCCAGATGTAATTCCAGTTGCCCAACCACATCGCCGACAGCCGTCCCATACTCGCAAGAAAGTCGATGCCGAACTAGATAGACTGATGGAACTAGATATCATTGAACCAGTAACAGGCCCAACACCATGGGTAAGTCCAATTGTCACTCCGCCAAAGCCGAAGAATCCTGATGAGATACGCATTTGTGTGTACATGCGTGTTCCCAACAAGGCAATAATGCGTGAACGCCATCCTACACCCACTGTAGATGATATGATCTACCGCCTGAATGGTGCAACTGTATTCAGCAAGTTAGATTTAAACAAGGGCTATCATCAGCTTGAACTTGATGAGGAGAGTCGCTTCATCACAACGTTAACAACACATCGAGGTCTGTATAGGTAAAAACGCCTGAGTTTTGGTATTAACAGTGCTGCCGAGGTATTCCAGCACATCATCAGCCAGGTATTGCAAGATATACATAATGCTGACAACATGTCTGATGACATCATTGTTTATGGCCGTACCCAAGCTGAACACGACAAAGCTCTTCGTGCAACATTGCAACGCTTACGAGAAAACAATCTGACGCTAAGCCGAGCAAAGTGTAAGTTTAATCAATATAAAATTGAATTCTTTGGACATGTACTTAGTGACAAAGGTCTGTCTCCAGAGCCTAAGAAAGTTGCAGATATCAAGAATGCTGCACCTCCTTCAACGTCCACTGAAATACAGTTTTCTGGGAATGGCAACCTACTGTTTTCGCTTCATTCCAGATTTTGCTACCATTACCAAGCCTCTACGTGAGCTCCTGAAGAAAAATGCGTCATTGTACTGGAATGATATCGAGCAAAATGCATTTGATGCTGTGAAAGATGCACTAGTAGAGAATGCTGCGTACTTTGACCCCATCAATGGACACTGAGCTACAGCAATTTGAGCTCAGTCTAGTCCTGTTGTTTTGTTTGTTGTTGGTGTTTACGAGTTAGGAGTGAGGAACTAATACAGAGATTCAGGACAGCCATTGAATTAGTTAGGAGCAAGGGAGGAATCCCGATCATATGTGGCATTCTTCCAAGAAAGGGAGTAGGAAATGAATGGATGTCGAGGGCACTTGGTGTCAATTGCCGGCTGGAAAGATATTGCAAATCAAATGCAATATCTTTCATAGACAACTGGGAACACTTCTATGGAAGAAATGAAATGTATGCTCGTGATGGGGTGCATCTATAGAGAGCTGGGGTTGTTGCTGTTGCGAACTCGTTGGAACCAGTGGTTAGAGGTGTTTGTTTGGTTTTAAACTATTAGTAGATAGTGGTATGGGAATTGATTTGGAGGAAGGAGGTAATAAAAGTATGTGTTCGTGGGAGAAAGGAATTGGCAAAATGATCAGGGAAAGAGAAGGGCCTCAAAATAACAATTCACTTAGGGTATATTACACTAACAGTAGAAGTCTAAGAAATAAAATTAACGAATTAAATGCTCTTGTCTGCACAGAAAAAATAGATATTATTGCACTTACCAAAACGTGGATGAATGTAGAAAATTGAGAACTATTAGCTGAATATCAAATAAATGGATTTAAACTATTTCACACAGATAGATATATTAGACGAGGAGGGGGAGTAGCCATATTTGTTAGGGACAATTTGAAATGTAGTCTCAAAGAGGGAATCAAAACTGAGCCACACACAGAAACTATTTGGATAGAATTAAACGAAAAAGCAAATAATATTATAATAGGAGTAATATATAGGCCACCAAATTTAGACAGAATGGAAGCAAAGCATCTATGGGATGAAATATCTAGAGCATCTAGATCTAACAGTATTTATGTCATGGATGACTTTAATTTTAGTGGAATAAACTGGTTGAACAAAAAAGGGAATAGTGAAGCAGAAGATTTTCTAGAATTAATTGACGATTGCTTTCTTACGCAACACATTAAGGAACCAACGCGGGAAAATAATATTTTAGATTTAGTGTTAACTAACAGGGAAACACAAATTAATGACATCGAAATAGGGAGTGAGCTAGGGAACAGTGATCACAAAGTAATCAGATTTAGCATAGAATGGAATAGACCTGTAGGAGAAAATTCTGTTAAAGTGCCAGATTTTCGAAAAGCTGATTTTAATAGCCTAAGAAATATTTGGGGTCAAATAGATTGGAAAGTCTTGGGTATGGGGTGGGGGCCGGTCTTGGAGCGAGACATGAACCCAGCGATAGGTGACGTAAAAGGGGATTTCGATGTGGATTTAATATATAACTTATTTAAGAATATTCTAAACAAAGCACTGGAACGTAGTATACCATACAAATTGAATAGATCGAATACTAATGACCCAAAGTGGATAACAAAGAATTTGAAGAACCTTATAGGTAAAAAGAGAGCTTGGTACAAAAGGATTAAAAATGGGGAAGTCAGTTTAAAACAGGAATTCATACAACTGGTTAGAAATGGTAAAAAAGAGATTAGGAAAGCAAAAAGAAACTATGAAGTTCGCATAGCAGAGCAAGCCAAGTCAAATCCTAAAGGGATTTTTCAGTTATATCGAACTAAGACTAGGGAAAGGATAGGTCCATTAAAAACTGAGACAGGTCAAATAACGGATAATGACAAGGAGATGAGTAGTATTTTTAACAAATATTTTGTATCTGTATTTACTAAAGAGGAAATTAACAATATGCCTTCAGCCGAACAAGTCTATGTGGGTGGGGATGAGGACAGGTTGACGAGTTTAGCAGTTACCAGGGAGGATGTAATTAAACAATTAGTAAAACTAAAACCAAACAAATCCCCAGGGCCGGATGAAGTGTTTGCTAGGGTGCTTAAAGAATGCAAAGAGGAGCTTTCCGAGCCACTGTCTACCATATTTAATAAATCAATAGAGTTAGGCAGAGTGCCAGAGTCATGGAAGGTAGCTAATGTAGTACCAATTTTTAAGAAAGGAGATAGATCACTTGCGTCAAACTATCGGCCAATTAGCATAACGTCTATTGTGGGAAAGTTACTTGAATCAAAAATAGCAAATGCAATTCGTCTTCATCTTGAAAAACATTAATTAATAAATGAGTCACAACATGGTTTTACAAATGGCCGTTCATGTTTAACAAATTTGCTAACTTTTTATTCCAGCATAGTTGAGGCAGTTGATAGTGGTAAGGATTGTGATGTTGTGTACCTTGACTTTAGCAAAGCTTTTGATACAGTGCCACATGAAAGACTAATTAAAAAAATAGAAGCTCATGGTATTGGGGGTGCTATATTAAGTTGGATTAGGGCATGGCTATTCCAAAGGAAACAGAGAGTTAGTATAAATGGGGTTAAGTCAGAGTGGGATAATGTTGTTAGTGGAGTACCTCAGGGCTCTGTCCTGGGACCTCTGTTGTTTATAATATATATAAATGATTTAGATTCAGGTTTGAGTAGCAACATCTGCAAATTTGCAGATGATATAAAAATCGGTAAGGAAATCAACACGAAAGAAGACTCGCTATCGCTTCAAGTTGATCTTGAAGTGATACCCATACGATAGTTTGACGCAAGTGATCTATCTCCTTTCTTAAAAATTGGTACCACATTAGCTACCTTCCATGACTCTGGCACTCTGCCTAACTCTATTGATTTATTAAATATGGTAGACCGTGGCTTGGAAAGCTCCTCTTCGCATTCTTTAAGCACCCTGGCAAACACTTCATTCGGCCCTGGGGATTTGTTTGGTTTTAAGAACATAAGAACATAAGAACAAAGGTAACTGCAGAAGGCCTATTGGCCCATGCGAGGCAGCTCCTATCTATAACCACCCAATCCCACTCATATACTTGTCCAACCCGCGCTAGAAACAATCGAGTGACCCCACCTCCACCACGTTACGCGGCAATTGGTTCCACAAATTAACAACCCTGTTACTGAACCAGTATTTACCCAAGTCTTTCCTAAATCTAAACGTGTCCAATTTATACCCATTGTTTCGTGTTTTGTCTTGAGTTGATACTTTTAATACCCTATTAATATCCCCTTTGTTATGTCCATTCATCCACTTGTAAACTTCTATCATGTCACCCCTAACTCTTCGTCTTTCCAGTGAATGCAATTTAAGCTTTATTAATCTTTCT